AAACCCAAGAGAATCTGTCAAAGGTCTCCTTACATTGATCAGAGGCCTTTGGCAAAGTCTCAGGATACAAAATAAATGTGCAAAAGACAATCACATTTCTTTACACCAATAATAAACAAACAGAAACCCAAATAAAAAACACAGTTCCATTCACAATAGCCACAAAAAAAATGAAATACCTTGGCATCTTCCTGACCAGAGACGTGAAAGACCTTTACAATGAAAATTACAAAACACTGCTCAAAGAAATCAAAGCCGACATGAACAAGTGGAAAAATATCCCATGCTCATGGATCGGAAGAATCAACATTGTGAAGATGTCCATCTTACCTAAGGCAATCTACAAATTCAATGTGATACCGATCAAATTACCAGCAACATTCTTCTCAGACCTAGAAAAAACAACACAGGAATTCATATGGAAACACAAACGTCCAAGAATAGCCAGAACAATCCTCAGCAAAAAAAAAAAAAACAAAGAAGGTAGTATCACATTACCAGACTTCAAACTTTACTATAAAGCTACAATCATCAAAACAGCTTGGTATTGGTACAGGAACAGGCATATAGATCAATGAAATAGAATTCAGATTCCAGAAGCAAAACCTCAATTTCTCAATCAACTCACCTTCAACAAAGCCTCCACCACCTACCACTGGGAAGAGGAGAACCTATTCAGTAAATGGTGCTGGGAAAACTGGCTGACCACATGCAGAAGATTGAAACAGGGCCCCTATCTATCCCCATGCACAAAGGTTAACTCCAAATGGATCAAAGACCTAAATGTAAAACCTCAAACCATAAGAACCTTAGAAAATGAAGGACATACCCTCATGGAAATCGGAACTAGCATCCAATTCCTGAACAAAACCCGAAACCCACAGGTCATAAGAGAGAAGATAGAAAAGTGGGATCTTATTAAACTGACAAGCTTCTGCAAGGCCAAAGAAGCCATCAAGAGAGCAGGAAGACAGCCTACAGACTGGGAAAAAGTATTTGCCAACACCAGGTCTGACAAAGGCTCAACATCTTGGATCTACAAGGAACTCAAACGTGCTGAAAAGAAAAAAACAAACAACCCCATTATAAAATGAGCCAAAGATATGAACAGACACTTTACAAAGGAAGACATCCAAGTAGCTAACAGACACATAAAGAAATGTTCAACCTCACTAATCATCAGGGAGATGCAAATCAAAACCACACCGAGATACCACCTAACTCCAGTCAGAATGGCAATTATCAACAATTCAAAAAATAACAGCTGCTGGAGAGGGTGTGGCGAAAAGGGAACACTTCTACATTGTTGGTGGAAGTGTAAACTAGTGCAACCTCTGTGGAAAGCAGTGTGGCGATTCCTAAAAGCTCTAAATATCAACCTCCCATATGACCCCGCGATCCCCCTACTGGGAATATATCCTGAAGAACTCAAATCACTCTATAAAAAAGATACATGCACACGTATGTTTATCGCAGCATTGTTCACAACAGCAAGATCCTGGAAGCAACCATGCTGCCCATCAAAAGAGGACTGGATTTTAAAAATGTGGTACATATACACAATGGAATACTACGCAGCCATAAAAAAGAACAAAATCATGAATTTCGCAGCAACCTGGATGGAACTAGAGTCTATAATACTGAGTGACCTCTCACAGAAACAAAGATCCGAGTATCACATGTTCTAACTCATATAATGGACCTTTAACATTCAATATAATAGTATAAGAAAATGACTGACAGTAGTGGGAAACTATGGGGGGGGAGGGAGGTGGGATTGACAGTAGCAAATATCTATCTGGGGATGGGGATACACCTTTTATCAACAGGGTGCCTGAATGAAACGTATTTGTATACCTAACCCTTAACTGTACCCCCACAAAACCATAATAAAAAATATTGATTATTGAAGGAAAAAAAAAAAAGAAACAAGCATCCTCAATAGTCTTGGTATGGTGGAAATGATAGAATCCTGAGGCCTGTGCTCTAGTCCGGGGGTGTACTTTAATCAGTCAGTTTGGCATGCCCCATATCTGTTTGAGCCTGGGTTTTCCACTAACAAGTTGTACTTTTATGTTTAAGATATAACAAGAAAGCTATGGGGGCTTGAATGCATGAGAACAACAGGGGCAGTGATGCTGGCCAAGCAAGTAATGACTCCTATCAGCAATCAGGCAAAGCAAACAAAGAGTAGGGAAGAAACTAACAATTACCACAACCCACCCTGTCACAGACACTGTGTTAAGGAGCTTCATAACGCTTATTTCATTTAATCTTCATGATAATCTTATAAGGAGGAGATGAGAAACCATTCCTGGCAGAATGAGGCTCAGAGGTGAAACCACTTGACAAGATCACACAGCTGTAAGCGGTA